CTTAGCAGAGGAGGGTCCAGTTAGTGTTTCCTCATGGTTTCCACATTGTGGATGGCTGCAAGCCTTTAGCCCCATCACAGAGGGCGGGCAGGCAGGCGGTGTAAATGACACACAGGCCCACCCATCCGTGGGTGGGCGCTGGGGAAAGGAGTTCACTCTGCAGCAGTGGGATGTTCTGGCACGGGGACAGAGGTGGGAGGGGGCTTCTTACCAGTGAGATGCTCCCAGGGGAGGCGGCCTCTGTCCACTGCAGCCTATCCCTTGCAGGTGCAGCAGGAGCGAGATGAACTGTATGGGAAGTTCACCGCAGCCATCCTGGAGGTGCAGCAGAAGGTGGGCTTCAAGAACCTGGTTCTGGAACGTAAGCTGCAGGCGCTGAGTGCTGCTGTGGAGAAGAAAGAGGTGCAGCTAAATGAGGTGCTGGCGGCCTCCAACCTGGACCCTGCAGCCCTGACCCTCGTGTCCCGCAAGCTGGAGGTAGGCCCCAGGCGGCTCCGGGGGGGTGATGGGCTGGAGCCTCATGTCCTCGCCCCCATCAGGTGTCCTGAGCCTGGGTCGGAGGTCGCCTGTTTCATGCGTGCATATCCAGCCTCCGTCGTTCCAGTGGAGACCCTGTTAGAGTTGGGGAGGCTGTGGGTCTCCTGTGGCCGGAGCACAGACGGGGGCCGCAGGTGTCTGCTCACGGCCCTGTGCGCGCCATCGGGCTCCCCAGGTTCTCTGTCACCGGATTTGCTCAGGTCTTGCTGAGGACTTCCCCTCTCAGCACTTCTGGCCCTGAGCCCACTGCCCATCCAGTTCTCAAGATGGGTTTAGTTAAGCCTATCAGGCCCTGGGTTTCTCAAGGTGTCGTGGGCCAGCGCGCCTCAGCAGTTTGGCGGCAAACCTAGAGACAGGCCTGGGGGACAGCCAAGCCCATGAGCTCTGAGCTGAGCCTGCCGCCACAGCCCACCAGGGATGCTGAGATGTCCTCCTGTGGGCTCTGGGCCGTGAGGACGGGGGAATGTAGGGCTGTGGATGCACCTCCGTGGCGGGGGCGCCGTGGGAGGCTTCCCACAGGCAGTTATGTCTGAGCAAAGGCTGGGGCGTTTATCCGGCCATGAGTTACAGTTCCTTGTGGTACTCCTCTATGCTGGGACCGCGGTAGACAAGACACATGGGGCCTGGGCACCCATGGGCTGGTGGGGTCAGCTGAGGAATCCTGGCACTAGCCGCCACCTTTGGCCCAGCAAGCAAACACCTGGTAGCTCCTGGCAGGTCACCTGCCCGGAGCCGGGCCTTGTGTCTCTGTTCCCTGGGCCTAGTTGGGGCACGTCACAGAAAGAACGGGTGGTGCCGGACAAGGGGCCTCTGCTGCCGCCAAGGCAGTGTGATTGTGCTGGGATCCCGGCCACCTGGGGGCCTGCAGCTGCCAGGCCTGAGACAGCCCCAGGCGCCGTGCCCTCGGGTGCCCGGGAGACAGACGCAGGGTGCGCCGGCCCCAGGAAGCGCAGCTGTCTCTTCGCCTTTATCGAGAGACCCAGTGAGGGGAGGCCACCTTGTCCCAGAGACAGATCCTTCCAGGAGAGACGGTGCCTGTCTGGCTCTGCTCTTCCTTTGTGGACAAACAGATCTTCTGAGTTAGGGGCTTAAAGACTGCTTTGCTGTTTGTGCAGTTGTGTTTAATCTTGAGAAACGGCACAGGTAGCGTTTTTAAAAATTTGTTTTAAGTTTATTTATTTTGACAGAGAGGGAGAGCAAGCAGGAGAGGGGCAGAGAGAGAGAGAGAGAGAGAGAATCCCAAGCAGGCTTCACACTGGCAGTGCGGCGCCTGAGGTGGAGCTCAAACCCACGAACCGTGAGACCATGACCTGAGCCAAAACCAAGTTGGACGCTAACCGACTGAGCCACCCAGGCGTCCCTACACAGGTAGCATTTTTAAGGTGATTTGTTCACGTAGCTCAGCTGAACATAAACCCCTCTGCTCACATGACACCCAGGCCCCGAGGATGAACTCTGTGTCAGGTCACCTAATGTTTACTTAAAGCATTGTGGGCTGGCCTTGACCTGAAGCTTGTGGCTCCCACTTGGTTGTATACTTACGAGCCCCTTGCTGCTGCTTGGGTGTTGGGGGGAGTGCAAGGCTGAGGTGAGGGGAGCAGAGCTAGATGGATGGGGGTGATTCTCAAGCTGCTGGCTGTGCCTCTGGGTTTGGCGCTGGTGAGGAACCATGGAAGGTTCTGGGTGGGGCAGACTGGATCAGAGAGAACCCTCTGGAAAGGTGGGAGGTGAGCTGGCACTGACTAGGTATAAAGGGCCTGTTGCTGATGGAAGAGGGGCTAAGGAGTCCAAGGTTACATGGTGCCCATTTCTGGAGGAGACCGGTCGTTGTTTATGGGCACCAGCACGTCCTGGCTCAGTGGGCGGCAGGGCCAGTAAGGCCTGAGTCGCTCAGGACACGCTCTCGGGGCCCGGGTTGGTGCAGCCACATAGGAGGGGCCTAGTCGGGGTTGGCAGCACCACGGACCTGGGTCTGGGGGCCCATCTCTGTCCTTGTCCTTGTTTGCGTGTGAGTCCCTGCGAACACGGGTCGGCAGGGGGTGAGGGCCCTGTGGGAAAGGGGAGGGTGGCTTTCCTGCCTCTGCTTCTGGGAAGGGCGGCTGGTCTTGGGGCTGGAGGTCGTGTCGCCAGCACTCGCGACGAAGGGATAAAACCAGGCCCACCCTCACTGGTTGCTGCAGCTGGGCCTGAGGGCCAGGAGGCAGGCAGGGGCTCGGGGGCGCTCCCTGGGCCGCGGTTGGCCTGGCCTCTCTCACCTCTTGTCCTCACTTCCCACCATCCAGACAGTTCCTTCTGGAGAAGCAGATTATATTTCCCCTTTCTCCTTCGAAGGCTTTCCTGTGCTGGCTGGCTGCGCCCTGTGTGGACGCACAACGGTGATGGAGCCAGGCTGCCATTTCCTGGATGTCTGAGGCCCCTGGCAGGAGCTCCGAGACCCCTGGTCACCTGTCTGCCACGGCTCAAAGACGAGCGCCAACTCATGTCTACTTTTCTTTCCTTAGGATGTTCTAGAATCGAAGAACAACACCATCAAGGACCTGCAGTATGAGTTGGCCCGGGTCTGCAAGGTATGAGGAGCCTCCGTGACCCTCTCCCAGGGCCCCAGCTCATTTATACTTTGGGGTATACACAGCCAGAGGCTGTCTGGGCCTCCTCAGGGTCACTCTGTGTGTGGACTGAGTCCCATCCCCACAGCTCTGGCCACTGGTGTTCCTTACAGGGCCTGCAGGGTGGATGTCTGGTGGGTAAACGAGGGCAGTTTGTCCAGGAGACTCTGTCCATCTTTCTGTTTGACCCTTTACTCTTGCTGACCTGGCCTCTGGGCTGACTGGATGGGCCTCCTTTGCTTCCTCTACGTAGGAGACAGTTGCAAGTCTAAGCTTCTCTCATTCCTTTGTAAGTCTGAGGACCCCCTACCCACACCAAAACCACGCAGCAGCGTGGAGGCCTCCCACTGTCGGGGAGTGGCAGGGAGCACCCTGACCCTTCTACCCAGTATTCACGCCTCCATGGCTGAGCCCACAGCTCTGCCTCGGCCTTGCCTGTGGGAAACGCAGACATAGTGCTGCCTACAGGTAACATTTGCCTTGAACAGCCACTCCAGGAGTGGGACTCAGAGAAGTCTGTAAATCTGCTGGTGCACCCTGGGGTGTGGAACCCCAGGAGGGAGACAATGCCTGTCACCAGCGCTGGGCTCCGTGGTGACCAGATCTCCCTGAGCCTTTCCTCGGCCCTGCCCATCTGGACACTTGCCTTATATGCTCCGGCATCCCCTGATACTTACACGCACAAAATCAGGGCCATCTATTGGTGTGCTCAGTTCCAGGGGAGTGTATCTGTCAGGAGGTCCGTCCCCCAGAAAAGGGGAAGAGCCAGGACCTAGCCCCTAAGTTCTGTCTGGAGCCTGGCCTGAGTTCACCCTTTAAATCTCAGCTCCAAGCACCAGCACCTTTTTCTTGATAATGGTGAGGATGAGGTCAGGCCGGCCTCCAAGCGTTTCATGTGCATCAATTCTTCAAACCCTTCAAACTAATCCAATGCAGTTAACTCTTTAAAAGATGCCCATTTTCCAGAGTGGGGGGCAGGAGCCCTGCCTGTGCTGGCCCTGCCTGGACTCTGCCCAGACCTCAGCCATCCTAGGGGGACGGAGGGCCTCTGTTCTCTCCGCCCAGGGCAGGACATAGCACACAAGGCAGGGAGGGTCAGCGTGGGCATATACACGTGGAAGGTCATGCCCAGGAAATCAAGGATGACCGATTTGAATGAGAAATGCCTGGCAAGGAGTCCGGAGCATGTTCCAACTACAGTTCTGCTCTGAGTCTGTATCTTCTGCTTCAGTTTCCGCATCTGTGAAACAGGAATAATGGCGGCATCTCCCACTGTGGGTACCTGCGTTATGTACGCAGAGGTGCTTATGGTCAGGCGTGGCGTACCGTGAGCCGTTGGTAAAGGTTAGCTGTAGACGGTTTTCCACCGCCACCCTCCTGCATCCTCCAGAGCTGAGTGGGCCTGGGCCACAGGCACCCTCGGTGTGGCTCCACCCCCTCCTCTGATGCTGCTCTGACCCCACAGGCTCACAATGACCTGCTGCGCACCTACGAGGCCAAGCTCCTGGCCTTCGGGATCCCTCTGGACAACGTGGGCTTCAAGCCTCTGGAGACGGCCGTGATTGGGCAGATACTGGGCCAGGGTCCCGCGGGCCTTGTGGGCACCCCAACATAGCGCCTGCCCGGGACTTATGCCTGGATGACACTCTCTCTCACCAAGGACAGGAGCGGTTTGTTTTTTCGATTTGTATCGTCTGCAAATGAAGTTTTTCTACATTTGCTGTGTGTCCTGTTGCCTGGCTGTGTGGAGGAGAGGCACCTCTGGGGCCCGTGGTGCCCTGACCACCTCCTTCCCGGCTACCCTCCTTCCCACCTTGGCCCAGGCAGCACCAGAGGAGCCCAGGGACTGCAGCAGCCTTGCAGATGCCAGCACTGACTTTATTGATGCCGGAGACTCAGCTGCTACTGGAAACTGGGGGCCAGAATCTCCCCCAGGGAGTGTGAGCTGGTGCCCTCCGCTGGGGTGTCTCAGTGAGCCACGGGGATGGGACTGACGCTCACAGGCCAGCAGCTGTCCAGAGGCGATGGCTCGGCCACTAGCTCCCGCGATACGTGGTGTAGGACCATGGGCTCAGCAGCAGGGGCACGTGGAACCTGTGGGTCTCATTGGTGATGGTGAAAACCACCTGAGAAGCAGAGAGGGCACCGGAACAGAGTGAGGGGGCTGGGGGCTGGGGGCCCTAAGGGCCAGCTGAAGCCAGTGGAGAACTGGAAAACGGTGAGGGCTGCGCACGGGGCTGAACCCTCCCCCGCAGAAAGCCCTTGGCTTGGGGATCAGGATCCACCCTGAACAGGGTCAGGTGAGTGCTTCTGTCCACAGGGGCTGAGTCACTTTTGGCCCTGCCCCCCGCAGCTTTACGCAGGGACAGGGCAGGGACGGGTGTGTTGTAGTAAAAATCCCTGGACACCTTTCTTCTCGGAGCTCAAAGCCGGTGAACTCACTGCCTGCCGCCTCCCAGGGAGAGGTGGGGGGGCGGGGTGAATCACAGGCCTGCGCCCCCTGGCCCACCCCCGGCCCTCACCTCCACATATGGGTAGAAGCTCTCCTGCCCCCTCTTCTTCCAGTAGCCGTCAGTGTCAAAGGACAGCTTGTAGGTGCCTGCCTTCATCGGGCCTGGTGGCAGGAGCCCCGGGCAGCGGCCATCTGAGTCGGTGTAGCTGCGGAGAATGGAGTCGGGGAAGTGAGGAGTCACCCCCGCCTGGCGCTCCAGACGCCTCCACAACCCGAGTCCCCGGGAATGCCCTGCAGCAGGACACATTCTAGGGCCTGGTTCTGGGGCAGCTCGGGGACACCACTGCACTGTCTTCTTAGGGAATTTCAATACACAGATGCAGAGAAGGAAAAAAAATCGATTCTATGAGCAACAATCCCTTTATATTGGCATATATTTTTCCAGATCCTCTCTGTGCATAACTATGCTTACTCATAAACTTAGAAAAATACTCTAAAATGGATTATTCTATTCATACTGTTTGATAGCTTGCCCTCTTCATGTGATATATTGTGTGTGCTTTCTGGATGAGTAACTGTCCCCAAACCCCCATCCTCATGGTGGCCTGTTTCCAGCTGTACCAAGTGTCTGAATGGAGGGATCTGAGGGCCTGTTGCTTTGCTCAGTGATCAGTCCCCAGTCATGTCTGGAAAGTTCTCCCATGTGTCCTGTGACTGGAAGGAGTAGCACGTACCCGCACAGCTTATGGGCGAGAAGCTGGGAATGGGTCTCTAGGACCCTGCAGAGGACTCCACACATTCTTTCCAGAACGTAGAACCCCAGCTTCGTGAAGGGAGGGGGGATGAGCTCCATGACCTCAGGCCCTGAACCTTTGGGGCCCAGCCACCCACTTCCACCACCAGAAGGAACCTGCCTCCTTCAAGAGGCTCACAAAGCAGCCCAAGTGCTACAGGGCAGGGCCTGGGCTGGGCCTTCGCCAGGGGAGCCTGGGGCAAGGGGCAGGGCCTGCTGAGCCGCCTGGCTTTTACCTGCCTCTTGCTGCTTTAGTCTCTCCATCTATAAAAGGGGTAATTATGGTGCCTGCCCACAGGCTGTAGTGAGAAGAAGAACACAAGAAAAGTGTTCAGTGCTCTGCCTGGCACAAGGTTACCTGTTAATCACGGTGACAGTGAGGTCTTCAGGTTACACCTCAGGCCTCAGCCAACCCTGCCTTCCGGGAGACGAACCCTGGCCCCTGGCCCAGTAGGCACTGGGGTTGTGGGGCTGTACCACTGTGCTCTTTGGCCCCAGCACTGAGGGGACCGTACCATGGTGGTCAGCACTGCCATCCACCCTCAGTGCCCACACCTACTGGCCATCTGGATTCTTCCGGACTCCTCAAACCTACCTCTTCCTCAGCTCCATCCACTGCTGGCCATGGTCCTCCAGCCTGGACAGGCGGAGACAGACGCCCTGGGCCGGGAGCCCTGAGGCAGTGTCCAGCACATGCGTGGTCAGCGGGCTGCTGACCGGCTCCATGCCTCTGCCCTGAGCCACGAGAGGGGGACAGAAATGAGTGTGTGGGGCCCAGCCCTGCGTCCACACTGGCATAGAGACAGTGGCTTTAGAGTCAACAGCCCCGGAGAACAGAGTCCCCGCTGCCCTGGGGACTGGAGGGGCGGTGCGTGCGCGCGCGCTGGAACTGCGGAGTCGGCCACGTGAGGCTGTGGCGCTAACACACCGAACACCGGCTCGTCAACAGTGCTGGCCTGTCCCCCGTTCCCGCACACGAGCCCCGCTACGGCCCCCTCCGCACGGCCTTCTCCAGCCAGTCGGTGCTCTGTCCCCTGGCTCATGGGTCACCTGAGGCCGTAGCCCCTAGGCCACAGCGAGCCAGGAGCCCGGGGTGCGGGTCTGCGCCCTACCTCTGAGGAGCCCAGGTGTCGCTGGAGCGCTCGCAGCCGCGGGGCGGCCCCCGAACTCATGCCCGAGCGGCCCACGTCCACCACCCCTAGAACGGCGGTCCCGAGCGGCTGTCCCGGGGCGCAGGCACCTCCCCGAGTCCTCCCCTGCCCTGCCCCTGGCCCCTCCCAGGACCCAGAGACCACGTGTCGGACCAAACCCAGGTGGGGGGCGCGTCCCGACGGCGGGGAGGGCGGCGGCTACACCTCGGTGTCCACCTGGAGGAGGCTTAGCGCGGAGCTCCGGCAGCGCGACGGGGGCGCACACCTGCGGGGCCGCGGAGGCTCCGCCCAGGCCGGAAGTGAGGGTGAGGACCGCGGCGGGGGGCGGGGGCGGGGCGTGCCGTCGGGGTTCGCCGCCCTCCTGGCTGGGCTCGCGAGCCCGGGGCGGGACGAGGCCTCGCGGAGGAGGGCGGGGGGCGCGCGCCGGCCGGGTTCCCGGAATTCGCCGGGATTCCCAGAACTGCTGCTGTTTGTTTGTTTGGCGAGTGTCTCCATCGCCCTCTCCGGCACAGTAAGGACCTTGATGGAAGCCCCTCCCCTCCACGGAGCAGGTCAGCTTTCCAGTTCCGACTGCCCTGAGAGGCCGCGTGATGGTGCCTCAGTTTCCTCGTCTGTCACACCGTGGCAGTAAGTCCCAAGGCTGAGATGGGGCGAGACTCTCTTGTGCACCTGCCTCTCCTCCCCCCCCCTCCGGCCCCCACGCCCTAGGGAGGCTCCGCACGCTGACGGGTCAGGGCCCGGGCGTGAGACGGGCGAGCGACCGAGCCGCGCCCGCGGATACCAGTCCGTCGCCGTATTAAAGTTGTTACACATGGGGCGCCTGGGTGGCTTAGTCGGTTAAGCGTCCGACTTTCGCTTAGGTCATGATCTCAAGGTTCGTGGGTTCAAGCCCCGCGTCGGGCTCTGTGCTGACTGCCAGCTCAGAGCCTGGAGCCTGTTTCAGAATATGAATCACACTCTCTCTGACCCGCCCCTGCTCACGCTGTCTCTCTCTCTCTCTCCTAGAAATAAATAAAACATTAAAAAAAATTTAAAAAAGTTGTTACACGTAAAACATCTTACGTAACAGAAAGACAAATAAGGGCACTCTAAAATCGGGAAAGGTCTACACCACCAGGTTGGGTGACTGGCTGTGTTCCTCTAGATATGGGAGCTTCTTCCCTCCTGTCAAAGTGCATTTTCCAAGTTCTGGATAGTGAGCGCGGACTATGTGTAGGTTAAGATTCAGACCCCTCCAAGGCAGGGAAGGAGACCCTCCTAGCAAAGGTTGGCAGTGTGCTCCTTACACCCATTTTGGAGATAATTAAGAAATTTCTGTTTGAGGGGCGCCTGGGTGGCTCAGTCAGTTAAGTGTCCGACTTCGGCTCAGGTCATGATCTCATGGTTTGAGGGTTCGAGCCCTGAGTGGGGCTCTGTGCTGCCAGCTCAGAGCCTGCACCCTGCTTGGGATTCTGTGTTCCCCCACCTCTCTGACCCTCCCCCACTCACGCTCTTTCTCTCTCGCTCAAAAATTTAAAACAATTTTTTTTAAATAAAAAAAGGAAATACCTATTTGAGATGTAAACACATGAGGTTTGGCTGGGATTTATGTTTACCGGAGATAACCCCAAAGAGATGGTCACACCTGTTTTTGCAAACACCCGTGGGTACGATGCATGAGAAACAAGCAGACTGTCTCCGCTGGGGACAATTAAATAAATGAGCTGTGTTAGGGACCGTCATGCTCCGCAGCCCATTGAAGAGAATGAGGCCCATCTGTGTGTAACAGCGGCCTGCAGCAGCGGCTGGCGGCAAGGCTTGAGTAACACAGGGTGTGGAAAGGGGGAGGCATCTATGGGTTTATGCTCCGAATGTGTATAGAGGTTCAACGACATTAAAAAAATTTGCTCACTTACTCCTCACAGCCTTATGATACAGGTATTATTAACCCCATTTTATAGAGGAGGCACAGAGAGGCTATGAACTAGAGTATTTTCTGGTATGATGCCAGAAGACTTAGACCAGTGACCAACTCTGGGACTCTGGGACAAGCAGTTGTGGACGGGGTTACTTATTTTTGCTCTTTAGCCTTTCTTGAACTCTTAGATTTTTTATTTTTGTGCTCTTAGAATTTTTAAGGAGTCTCAACTGCCATAAGTAAACTAAAGAGCGACAATGAAACCTATTTCGGGGATGTGCCCTGTAACTCCCTTTCTAGACACCTGACACTCTTTGCTCCAAGAGAGAACTTAGTGGCCAGGCGAGAGGGTGGGGGAGGAGGGATTTGTCACATTTCCTTCCAGGGCCTCACCAGGGCCACTTCCCCGTCCTGCCCCCACCCAGGCAGAGAGGAACTGCAGTGTCTAGGGTCCTTGCCCTTCCCACAAGTCACTTGAGACCCTCAGCCCCTGACTGGCCTCCTGGCACCCAGCCCTGTCTGAGAACCAAGATTATCAGGGGGACATTGCATACTCTGGAAACTTCCCTATGAGAAGATGACAAAGTCTCTTGTGGCACCCATAAGCAAATTAGAATAAGGTGCTTCATCAAGGCCCTTAAATACCAGAAAATTGTCATAATAAATATTGAAATGGCTCATCTTTGGATTCAAATAAAGTTATAACATTCGCAGTGTGAGATGTAACATGTCGTCATTGCACAGTCTGAATTGCTGTACACTGTGCCTTGCTGATCTGGGCGACAAGGCTGGATACCCATCTGGGAGGTCATCTTTACAATCCATGGGGAACCAGGAAGGGCAAGTGTTAGGTGAAAGACCCTGGTGACCCATACTTACAGCCTCAGGCTCTGGTCACCTCTGGCAGATGGAAAGGCACTGTGAGTCTACTCCTGGGCAGTCTGTATGAGAGAAAGTGAGGAGAAGGGTCCCGGTCCCCGTGGCTGGAGGTTGTCCTAAGGGGGAAGGAGACAGGAGATCAGACCCTACAATTGTGAGCTGTTACATTTCCCCCAACTTAAAAGCTGTCTCGTGAGGTCTGCTGTCCCCCCAGCTCTCTCACCGGCTGACTGAGCCAGCCTGAAAAGGTGCTGCTTGATCTTACCATTTATCCCGTCTCTAATCTAACTCCAAACAGCTTCTCCATGGAACCCTGAATACTCACTGGGCCCTCAGCACCACCATGTATGGGTGTAGCTTGCCAGGTGCTGTTGGCCACAGGCAACGTGACCCGAGCAGGGTCTTATGAGAATGTGTGTGTGAGTGTGACAATTCGTGTGAATGTGTATGATGCGTGCGTGCACACAGATGAGCTTGTGAGGGTGCACGGATGTTAGTATGTGGGAGTATGCACGAATGAATGTTTTACTGTGATCTGTATGAATGAGTGTGCATGTGTGAGCGTGCGAATGGGTATTTGTAGAAGGTGTGTGTGACATGGGATTGTACGTGTGCACTTTGTCCCTTAGGGCATCTGGAGGCGGATCCTGCTCCTCTGCTCCCAGTGCAGGTGCTGCTGCGCCCACAGTCACCTTTGCTGTAGTACAGCAGCTGGGCTGGACCCCCTGAGTGATTCTGCTCAGAAGCCTGGACAGCCTGGCTCAAGCCTGTACTTGCCCCCTGGGATGCTGGGCAGATCATTTACACTCCTCAATCCTGTGTTTTCATGAGTAAAACAGGTAAGAGAACACGGTCCCTCCTCGTCAGTTTCTGCTAAAGAGGTGTTGAGATACCGTACACACAGCTCAGCCACAAGGTGGAGCACAACATGCATCAGAGCATAACATCAGTAGAGGGGTGTGGCCCAGAGATGAAACATCTAAGCCCCTACCATTGTCCACGGCTATGACCACAGCCGAAAATGTGCGCCTCTCCATGCTGTCCTTTTGCAGACTGGCTCGAGTGGAAATGACGCCTGTTTCTGGGCTGAGGTCCAGCTGATGGCTGGGGTCATGCCATATCTGGTACCTGAAAGGGATAAACCCTCATTCTTACAGGGCTGGGGCAATGTGTCGCCCAACCACCCTCCCGGGGCATAAAGAACAACTGGGTGCTGACAAATTTAAGTATTTCCTCTGGCCAGCTCTCCAGGCACGTGGCTCGATTTCAACCCCGGGTGCCTTGAGCAGGCCCAGCAGCAGCACCAAACCACACCTCCAGTCCTGCCTGCTTTCCTGAGAGTGGAAGGTGTCTGGGTCCTGGGCCCTGTATGATGTTATTTCCTGGCCCACACCGAGGTCCTTGGGCAGTTGCACCGTCTTCATCAGGGGTACAAAGACAGGGGCCTCATTCACGTCCATCACGTCCACGGTGACCGTGGCCGTAGAGGTGAAGAGAGATGCCAAGGTCACTGCGTTCACCACTGTCACGTAGAGGGTGTTCTGCTGGGTGGTCTCAAAACCCAAGCCCTGAAGAACAGAGCAGAGGGCGGTCAGGGGACTCGGCCCAGTAGGCCTCCCTTTTGTGGGCCTGCAAGAGAGTGTGGCCCTGGCTTATTACCCTCTGCCTGTCTTGAGGGGAGGTCACAGCTTGCATGGCAGGCTGTGTTCCAAAGATGGCCACAGAACATCACCCTTTGCGCATGCTTTTCTAAAATGTGGCCTGTGAGCTCCCTCACCCAGAGGCAGGGCCACATCCCACTCCGTGGACCCAGCAGGCTTTCGTCATGGTTTCTACTATTGCATGTTGCCAGTGTCACGCATTCTGACTTCCCAGACTTTGTCATCAAAGACAAGGTGCCCCCTCCCTTGCATGAAGCATGCAAGTCAGAGAGCCCTGAGGTCACCGTCTGGAGGCTCAGTTGAGCCCCTGGCCTCTAGCCGTGGCCACCATCTGGCCACAACTGCAGGAGAGACTCTGAGCCAGAATCACCTCACGGAGTCTTTCCTGAGTCCCTGACTCATGGAGGTAAAAAACGATTCCATTTTTAAGCCACTGAGTTGTGCGTGGGGTGATTTGTTATGTTGCAACAGTGACTAGTATAAGGAGCAGCCCAGAAAGCTCCCCTTTCTGAGGCTCGTAGTCCAGTTCCCACCTCAAAGAGCTGTGGTGGAGGCTTCATATCTCCACGCGCCCCCAGGTGGGTCCAGAGCAAGAAGTCCCTGACGGCCACGTGTGCCCAGCAGTGTGAGTGCACTGGGGAAGAAGGCCCGGCCCCTGCCTCAGCATGCACGTCATCCTAACCATGAATCGCAGAATTCCCCCTGGCCAAGCGTGACCTGACCCGAGGCCGACTGGCAGGGCCGAAGTGGCCGTGGCAGAGAGTCCTCTGGGCTGAGCTGGTGTTAACTTAGCACCTAACATAGCAGTGAAGAGGTGGCCTGTGGCTAGGGTTTTGGCCCTGCCACTTACTGTGCAGCCCAAGCAGGTGACCTCGCTTCTCTGTACACCGGTTTCCCCATCATCAAGTGTCCATAATAGCAGCACTTCCCTGCTGGAGTGAGTACTGAGTGTGTGAGTACATACACAGCCCGTGGCACTTATTGAGCCCCCTGTGTTTGCTCTCTGTTTAATTATCCTGCACGGGGACAACATGACTGGTGGGCCTTGAGCAGAATTATCTGGAAGAGTCCCCAGATGGTTGGGCCAGGACTCAGCTGGGATTGGGCGCATTGGACTGGATTCAGCCCCACCCACAAGGCATGTAGTTATTCCTAAGGGTCAATTCGCCACCCCTGGCACATACTCTGGTTTGATGCAGGTCGATAGGTAAATGTTCTGGGGCCCGTCCTTGGTGGAGTTCTTGGTTTTTAGCCCTTCTGTCCCCCAGGCTTGTCTAGATGCTGCCTTTGGCCTTTTCCACGTTCATTCTAGGTGTCCTGGTATTCTGGAACAAAGAGCAGTTAATGCCTACTCCCTCCTCAATCACTCCTCAGCCAAGCGGAAGTTCCTAAAATTGTCCTCTCCCCTGTGACTCCTTATCTTCCTTCTTGTTTTTTTTAATATTTCTTTTTTTATGTTTGAGAGAGAGAGAGGCAGAGAGAGAGTCCCGAGCAGGCTCCGGAATGCCAGCAAGGAGCCCAATGTGGGGCTTGAACTCTCCAACCATGAGTTCATTACCTGAGCTGAGATCAAGAATCTGACACTTAACTGACTGAGCCACCCAGGTGTCTCCCTATCTTTTTGTTTTTCTCTCTCTTTTTGATCGTTTATCTTCAGTTTGTTCGGAGGAATGGGGAGCAGATGGTTCCAGGCCCCTCTGCCCACTCTGAAGACCGCTGTGGCTCTGGGGACCTGGCTTCCTGCCTGTAGGGGTAAAGCAACAGTTCTAAGCAGACAAATGTCTCAGATGAGACAACAACAAGGCTTTGCTCAGAAGGACCCTGGAGGCCTGAGCCCCTTTGTTCTTGAGGCTCCCGCTCTCTCCCCACTTCCTATCCCACTTACCGCTCATCAGCGCTTCTAGGGCCCCTCCTGCTTTTGGAGGACCCCAAACGAAGACTCCTGTCCCAGCTTAGCTCTCTGAAAACATCCCAGGTGAGTGTTTTTCTGGGAAGAAGCTGTTAATGAGGCGGCACTTCTGAGGTCCCGGGTGATGGCATGGCCGTCCTGATGCAAGGGCTGGGGAGGACCCCTCGTCGCAGCAGAAAGCCCTCACTGGGAAGCTGCCTTCCCGGTGTGAGGAGTGTGCTGTCTGCTCCTGTCTTCGTCCAGGGTGGACAGAGCCAACTGATCATGGCGGCCATCTCCTTAGAACTCACACCTACCTTGGCTGTTTTCAAAAGGCCATTGTTGGTCTCTGGGTCCGTGGTGACAGTGAAGAGGCCTGCTCTGTCGTTCAGGATGGAAAACACTGCCTTCCACGCCGGAGAGCCTGGGGCATCTGCTTCCTTCACCTTCAGTCTCACTATCCCTGCATCCACCTTGTTCTCAAACACCTGGCCCGTGTACTGCACGAGAGGGGACATAGGCACTCAGTCCTGATACCTGCGTGGGGACTTGGGAAACAGCCTGTGCCAGCCTCAGGGAATCTGCTGCTCTGAAGCAAGATGGGCCACAGTGGAGGGGTCTTTTCTTAAAGCAGATGTCTGTCGGCCTGAGCGACAATGGGGGGCACCTGCAAAGGCCCTGTTCACTGCTCTGGATGTGCGTGTCGGCAGTGGGGCTTCTAACAGCTCAATGCCTACTTTCTGTACTGAAGGGGCTGCAAAGCTGAAACCATATCTCCTAGGCTCCTGAAGCTCGGATCCCAAAGTGTGCATCAGCTGAGGAGGATATGTCCCCATGGCCAAGTGCAGACATTCCAGGCTCTGTTCTTAGGTTGCAGCCACTGTGAGAAGCTCCTCAGTTCTCAGCTGTGGCCATGGGCCCTGCAGGCTCAGGAGCCAAGTGAGAAGTTGGACCCTGAGTGGCTACTCCAGCCTGTCCCCTGCACCTCCCTCAGTTCCCTTCTGACTCAGTCTCCATGGGGAGCAAGTTTCTCTGTCTTAAGTCTGGCACGTGAGACTGTTGGAGGGCTCTGCTCGAACACCTGCCAGGCTCGGGGGGCCCCGACTCCAGCCCCAGTCACCTCGAGAGTGACCCTGGGTTTATTGCTCGGGACTGTGTGGACGATACGGTAATGTCTGCAGCTGCCTCTACATTTCAGTTATGTAATAAATGAATAACCCAGCAATGGGTTCAAAAGAATTAACTCAATTATTTTTCAGATACATTTCCCAGAGCAGAGACAGTGTGCTCTCAGAGATCAGACGGTTCCAATTCCAGCCTGTAAATGAATTCCTATTAGCACCTTCCTGTACGTTGTTTGCTGTGGTCCTCACATACCCGCCCAGAGGACGAAATCACTGCCCCCTTTTCCAGAGAGGATGAACACAGGAAAGCTAGACAACTCTTTTTCTTCAACAGGGCTGTCTGAGCTGTGTCGCTGTCAGGGTAGCCCTAGCAGGAGCAGACAGACCCGCAGTTCAGACAAGTGCTACCATCGCCTCTGACTTTGGGGAGGGGCACAGAAAGGTCACAGCTACAGGACTCAGAAGGGGATGCTTGGGACCTAAATCCAAGGCCCGCTGCCTTGAGCACAGCCGTGGACTTGATGCCAGTGCTCTGGCCCATCTCCCCCAGGAGAAAGCAGCTCAGGGCCTGGGGCTCTAGACACCCAGGTGACCACCCTGTCACCATTCCCTGTGGCCTGAGTAGGCCCAGCCCATGGAATCCAGACCCCACGTCCCTGGGCTTAAGCCAGGTGACCACCAAACAGCTAGGCCTTGGTTAAACCCTTCGAGGCCTGCAGGCTTCGCCTGGAAACTTCCTCATGACTCCTGTATGTCAGCGGCTGCTCAAGAGAGGGCAAGGGTGTCCAGCCTAATGGGGTCAGTGCCAGTTCTGTTATTCTCACAGTGTGACCCCTGATCTAGAACCCCTGCTGCCTAAACCAATTCCAACCTGGAGAAGCCATATACCACGTCCTGGCTCGTGAGGCCAAAGTGCAGGTCTGGACGGTGGGGCTTGTGGTAAAAGACACCTGGCATGGCTCCTGCCTCCTCCCTCCCTCTTCCTTCTAACTGGGCCAGTGTCATGCTGGAGGTGCGGCAGCCACCATGGAAACGAAACCCACGCTAAGGAAAACGGAGCAAAAAGAAGGAAGCCGTGTCCCTGTGTGGCCGCGTGGTGTGCCCGGCAGCTGGGGCCTTCTGTGTCGGATTGTGTTGCATAGAGCAATAAACCTGTCATGGTGTTAAACCAATCCTGTTGATTTCTCTGCAGATGAAAGGATGTCTGCCTCATGGGGTTGAGATCGTGCAGGTAAAATGTGTTCCACAGAAACTGCTCAGTAACTTGGAACTGACTGTTGTTCTCGGTCGGTCTGCACCCTGAGCCAGCACAGATACCGTGTGTTAGCCAGTGAGACACTACTGGCCTGACCGGTGTCTGAGTGAGCACCAAGCGCTGGGAGGCTCCTGCCTTACCCCGAGCTGCTGGAGAGGCCCACGGGGGACTGCCCGCTGGGGCCCCACTGAGACACTGCCCTCATCACAGGAAGGATGCCTGTGCCCTGCCCCTGGCTCAGAGTCCTCCCAAGCCACTGTGATAGGGTTTGTGGTTGGGACGCAGAGACTTTGATTCCATGCCATCTGCTGCCTCAGCTGAGAATACATAAAGGCGCCTGGGACCTTCCTTCATTGAGGAAATGTTGCCAGAGCATCACCAGGTGCACTGCCAGGACACAAGGTGACACGAGGAAGGGACCGTCCTACACC